CTCAGTGAGCTCCCAGGAGCTCGTTCATCACAGCTCACTAAATAAATCAGGAATCCATTAATTGCATTTCACAGCAGTCATGATCTGCAAATTAGGAATCACGGAGCTCGCTGTGTGTGCTCACTACTGTAATTGCGTGGTATGTAGCCACAAATGCAATTATTTCAATCCTTTCTGCTCTGATTCTTTGCCAGTTTATGCTTTTTCTGTCACTTTCCCTTTGTGCTACAATGCACGAACGTGTGTTATTTACTTTGATATTGTCCACAAATAAGCCAAAAAAAAAAAAAAAAGCTTCAGTTTAAACAAGAAGTCCAGAGGCAGAAAATACTGTTATTTGAAATACAAATTAACTGGAGCGGCACTCATTCAGCAGCTACTGAACAGTTTTTGTTTTTCTCACCAGCAAAGACTGCCTACAGTCAGTATTACACCTCATAACCCCAAGAGGAAAACCCTCTAGATGTGATTAAACAAACTTGTAAATCATAGTGGTAATGTGGTCTCATTCTGAAGCGGTTAACAAATAGTCGTGCGCACATTTCTGCCACTGTGGAGAAAATTGTTGCTCTGCATCAACTGGGGAGTAAAATTTAAGGGAGCGAGTGGAAATTCATGCATGTCAGGGGTTGATGCAGCTGGACTGGTACGTATGAGCAGTGATGTTGACGATTTCTAAAAATATAGGGGTATTCAGTACTCTGCCATCAAACAGCAGAAATCTACACGTGTCTAAGCTTTCAAAGTGGTGACAATGTTTGACTATTTCTGAGGTCACCTAATACCTGAGTCTTGAGGATCTCTGCTTTTCTATTACACACATAAGTGCAGAAACAATTACTGTGTCCACTTTAGATTTCAATGTTTGTGTAGCGAACACATTGCGGATAGAGATAGCCAATACGTGTCGATCCAAATGAATTTAAACGCACATTTCTTCATCGTCACTGTCAAGAGTACAGCTCCACGCATTCCTCTGAATCCTACTGTTGACAGCACTCCTTTGTATGCAGTCGCTATCCAACTCTCCATATAGGAAGGATTAAACAGAGGCTCCAAAAGAAATCCCAGGTATTAAGATATGATACATTTATAGGTGCATAGCGGGAGAAGGAACAGGTGAAATATTGGTAAATGTTTAACATTCACTGCACAAAAGCACATTCAGAGAGTTTCCTATGGTGCCACTCCACCACCTTCCTTTGCCCTGTAAAATCTTCTGTCATTGAGCTCTTTGATCTGTGAGCTATAGAGCATTTGCATCTTTCTCTGTGCTTCTCGTACGATTTCTGCTGCCTTTCTGCCACTTGTCAAAAAGTTTACTGCGTGCCGCTATTATTATTGCTATTCCAACTAGAGTATCTGTACCTGTGTGACATTAACACTTTCCTTCAGTCTACGTGAGTTTCAACAAGGTTTTTAGAAAAGTATGTTGTTAAAGGTCAGCATTGTCATTCAGTATTCCATCCATCCATCCATCCATCCATCCATCCATCCATCCATCATCCATCCGTCCATCCATCCATCCGTCCATCCATCATCCATCCATCCATCCATCATCCATCTATACATCCATCCATCCATCCATCCATCCGTCCGCCAGTCAGTTTAGAGGTTTTGCTCGCTCTTTATTTATTTTACCTTTCTGCTGAGCACAGCAGCTGCAGTGAATGTGAGCCATCCAGCTGACAAAGCGCTGATTAATTGTCTGCCAGCAACAAGAGAGACTGAGAGCAGCAGCAGGAGGAGGTTCAGAGAAGGGTGCTAAAGAGAATAGCAGGATAATAACTGTTCATGCAAGTGCAACCTGAAAAAGTAGATGCTTGTCTGGCTGAACAACGGCACGCCTTCCACGGTGTATACGTACTTATTATTTCTAGTGGGTGTGAATCCAAATCTACCGCTCCTGTCCTGTGAGTATCCATCTCTATGTGTTTGTTTCCATCCCTCCCTCCGCTCTCCCTGCAGGAGGTCACATGTGTGACATCTCATCAACTCGGCTGCAGTTGAGATAAGTGAGGAATCAATACTTATTGATTAGGAGGGCTCCCACAAGAAACTGCTCCCTTTGCCACACCTGCTTTGCCTGAGCAGGCCGGTACAGAAAGCAGATGGTCTTTCCTCAATGGTGCTCAACACACAGGACATGTTTAGTGGCCCAGACACAACCTCTCTACAGGACTCAGCTGTGCCCTACTGCCTCTCCAACAGTCTGGCAAATTTAGATTCTCATGCAGACGCACACATACTGTGGCAGTGTTTCATGGAAAGAGGTGTCAAGGAATAAAAAGCCTATGATTTTGAAGATTTTTGTGAAATGCTGTTTTATTAAGGGTTTTTGTGTATAATTCTGATTTGTGCGTTTGACATTGTTGTGCGCTTCATTAGGGTAAGTGAGCGGAAACCTTTCTTTACACCTCTGTGTGATGTGCAGTAAACGCCTGAATGTTGATGAATTACCCGTACGCTTACTGGACCTTGACAAGGGAGGAAATGAGATCAGATTTCCCACAACCCAACACTCCCACTCATCGATTCTGAGCCAATTTACTGTCCCAGTGCTTTCACGGTTGCTGACACTGGTCATCTTGCAACATAGCTCAACTAGATATGCATTCTTTTTTAGTTTGTGGTGTCGTTGGGAGGCATGTATTCAGTATTCTGGGAAAACATCAGTCACTGCACCTGAACAGGTGCAGAGTTGGGAGACTGACTCAGCAGCAAAAGCAATCTGCCACAACAGCAGAATTAATGAACCATCAGTTATCTTGAGCACCAGGAAAAGACACACTACATTTTTTTATGCCATTATTTTGTGCTAATCTTTAACTGACCGTGTAATCTGACATGAAAACTGAGATAGAACCTTGTATTTGTTTCACGTAGCCACAAATACTGTCACGCAGATTCTAATATTCTTGTACAGATTTTATTCAAACAGATTAAAACAAACATTGAACTGTTGCAGCAAATGACAGAATAATATTTTCTTGTAGTTGACACATGTAGCACCATATCAAATTCTTGGATTTCTCAACTAAATCTGTGTTTATTTTTGTATTCCAGTAAGTTAACACATTGTGTGGGAGTTTCAGTAGTGACTTCGGAGGCAGGATGACTGAAAGTTCCTGCTTTGCTTGGGTTGTTTTATGAACATGCTGTAAACTGCCAGCCTTATGAGGTCTCTAAGGACAGATCATTTGTGGTACAGCATTAAATGCTTGTGCAGCTTGTCAACATAACGTCATGGCTTCTATAAAGCTGTGTGGCTTCTAACTGCATACTTCATCAATCACAGGCTGATCCATCCTTTTAGGAAGTTTCTACAGAGAGAGGCATCATTATACGAACAAATAAATAAGGCAACGCGTCTCCCACTCAGATTTCTCTATTTCAGTAGAGAGCTCACTGAGTGCTGAAGGATGTTGGCTGGGCTGTGAACAAAAAATAATAATAATCATTTATGGAAAAAAAAAGAGCAAAAAAACCCACTTCTGTGACAGTTACGGTTTCGCTTTAGTAGATGTTACTCGTTTTCTTTTTGAATTGACTACACACTCCAGTGAAGAGTGTGATTAAGCACGTAGACGCAAGAATCAACACCGAGGAGCTATTTAAGCAGACGGCAGGAGTGACATATTTTCTGTACAAATCCAGGATTTCACAATAACTTCTTGTGTCTGAGTCGTGGAACTCATGAACAAAGCCGATGAAGAAATTCCCCTGAAAGGCAAAGGGGTCAAAACTGCAAACAACTTTTCATGTAGAACAAATAAGGAACTTCCTGAAGAAGTAATGAAACTTTGATCAAGAGAATGGCTATATGTATATTGCAGAATTTACATGACCTTGATTTTAATAAAAAAAACAAAAACAAACAAACACTACAGTCCCAAAATAGCCCCCAGCAGAGCAGATGTTCATACATAAATATGTGCACTGTGATGTCAAAGAGTAGATCGTGTTTCTTTCCTTTTCTAGAATATCTAATTTTGACTTTTTACATAATTAAGGACTTTGGAGGTTATTCCATCTCAACTGGAAAGTCACATATGTTCTTTGTTTACATTTGCTTTCAAGGTTCCTAGGTGAAAGAAAATTAAAGGTTCTGTTAAGAATAAATCTGCTTATTCAGCATGACAAACTATTTTTGTGTTATATGTATATATAGCTCGCGTCCCGGTGGGGGCACCGGAATCTTTCTGCGTGAAGTTTGCATGTTCTCCCCGTGCAG